TTAGGTTTGCTACCGGTACCGTACGTAGCACCGTTAGTATCTCAGTTTCACGAATGTGCATCATCTGCGTATGCTTTACCCGCATTATATTATAATTGTATACAAGAGTTATATACAGTGGCGTATTCAAAGGGGCGGAATCACTCAGATTCGGCTTCTACAATTATAACTAAAACATTACCACAAGACGGTTTAGATTGAGTTTGTCTCTTTAAGTGTAACAGTATATATTTATTTATCTATGTTTTTATTCTTTGTCAAATTCCCAGTCTGTTATGTTTCAAATACATTATGATGATGATGATGATGATGATGATGGTGATTAAATTCATCATCATCATCCTCAACATCATCGTCATCATCATCATTACGATCTGTAATGCAATTAAGTTTCTGTCATTTATAACCCTATGCAATTATGATCTGCGTCGAAAAAAAAAAATGTTCCATTGACAACTCACAGTTTAAAGTCGTATTTTTCTGATTGGATATGTGCTACTGAACAAGCGCACATCGAACCAATACCAATCGATTACGAGTAAGTAAACTCTATGACGTGACTTTACGACCCTCAGTAGATCTGACAAAAATGTAATGACATCACTTCTACTATTAAGCTACTCAGGTAGATTTGCGGTGAGGTATGTTAGAACGAATGTTTATGTTGACCATACAGATGATAAGGCTAGTATTATATCTTCGTTTTTAATCACAGATCGTATGTCGAAAAGTATCTTCAAATCATTTTAAACGCAATGTGTATCGTTCATGTTTGCTTTTAGTTAACTTACGTGCGAGCATATACCAACCACCAAACATCCGAACTATCTGAACAAACGTGTTAAAATTAATTTAATATATTTTCGCCTGGGGATGATGGCAGACGACGTTATTACCAATTGTTGAGGAAATGGTTTCTGTTTGTTATTTTTCAGTTAAGCTTCGATCACATTCAAGCTGTTGTTGGTTTATCTTAGAAGATCGGTGAATATCACTTAGGCCTGTATGCGTCTTCGGTATCACGTGACAACCCTACTGCCTGGCGTCCACGCAAGTTTTAACTGGATTCTCTGAAACATTAGAGTTGATCTCCTGAACTTATTTTGATCAGTTTCTACATCTTCTGAAAAATCATTGATTTACGCGAACAGCTTAATGGGCTGAGTCTATACTTAGTACCAACATGGAACACCGCTTGGTCCCTATGCTGCTCGGTAAGTTGTCTCATAAATTCGATTTAATGGGATACTATATTTGATAAACAGTTGAACGAGTAGTCGTATTAGTCTATATGACACAATTAACAGTTACAGGAACAGTATTTAGACAAATGACATCTTTTATTCCACAAGTTTTACCACTACGCTACGGTGGCTTCTTCAAGTGATATGTGTGCCTCCTACAGGGACGTGCGTATATCATAGATTTAATAAGCCATCGTAGTGGTGAAAGTAGGCCTATGAGTTATAAAATCTGGTCGTTAATCTCAAAATGTTGTTTCTGTACTTGTTTTTTGGCAATGCTTTCAGTTTTGCGACCTTTATGATGTCGTTTAAATAGCGTTACTCATTTACAAGATATAATGTCTATTGGGAAATAAGAAAAACCTAAGATCAAAGAGTTCATTAACTTCAAATGAAAAAAGATCAAAACAATTCAGAGATATTTTTTCCACTTTTTATACTTTTTTGTATTTAAATACAACAGTATAATTTCAAGCATCGCTGCGGTTTTCTTGCCTGTAATTTATTTTGACGAAACAGCTAGGCCTATCTCTTCACTACAGTTATTGCTAGGCTTTAATTGTTATGCATCAGTTTTGCGACCTTTATGATGTCGTTTAAATAGCTTTACTCATTTACAAGATATAATGTCTATTGGGAAATAAGAAAAACCTAAGATCAAAGAGTTCATTAACTTCAAATGAAAAAAGATCAAAACAATTCAGAGATATTTTTTCCACTTTTTATACTTTTTTTTGTATTTAAATACAACAGTATAATTTCAAGCATCGCTGCGGTTTTCTTGCCTGTAATTTATTTTGACGAAACAGCTAGGCCTATCTCTCCCCTACAGTTATTGCTAGGCTTTAATTGTTATGCATTTCTTGATCTGATTTAGATTACGGGATCTTTGATTGCCCACACATATATGGGCATGATGAATTGTCATCATGATGCGATGCTTAGGGGTGAAGGGGGTAAAGCGGTAGGTATGTTCCTAACGATAATGAGGTGAGCGATGTCGGGACACGGGATGTTGCTGGCGATAATGTATGATGCGAACGATTTCGGACTGGGAATGTTCCTGACGATAATGAGGTGAACGATGTCGAAACACTGGATGTTGCTGGCGATAATGTATGATGCGAACGATTTCGGACTGGGAATGTTCCTGATGATAATGAGGTGAACGATGTCGAAACACGGGATGTTGATGGCGATAATGTATGATGCGAACGATTTCGGACTGGGAATGTTCCTGACGATAATGAGGTGAACGATGTCGGGACACGGGATGTTGCTGACGATAGGCCTAATGCATAAGGTGAACGATTTCGTGAATTCGGGATGTTCCTGATGGTAAAGATACAGATGATATCGGGATTGGTTTTGTTCCTGACGAGGGAACGATGTAGTTCAGATGTTCTTTATGATTATGAGTTAGACGACGCCGGAACACGGGATGCTTCTGACGATATTGAGGTGAATGATGCCGGAACTCGGAATGTTCCCGTACGATAATGAGGTGAATAATATCGGCATTTCGGATGTTCAGATAATGGGGTAGACAAAGTTAATGCAGACACTACTGAGAATTCTATGTATCTATCTCGATTAATGTCATTGACATTCACATTGATATTTTTATTCTTTCTTCTACCATTCTACTTACTAGTATTACCGCCACATTAGACAAGACATTTAGGCCTACAACAGCAATATCCATAGTTATATCACATTGCAGGTTCTATGGCGTTGTATCTCTTCCATTTGAAATAGATATCTGTATTGCATTCGGTTAAGCTACTATATCGAGCGAGTAAACAGGTAAACGCTCATCATAATTTAAATTAATTAATTGATTGATTGAATAATTTATTGAAATACGGGCTTAACATTTTTCTTCAAAATTGCTGAGATTATGCAATATTTAATCCATGACAAAGGAGTCATTAAATTGTTTCTGTTTTATCCTTAAACCTAAACGGTTGCATTGTGACCCTCCACATTGTAACCGAGCGCGATATCGAAAAACGCACAACTCGATATCCATCACAGACCGGAAAACGTGATTTTATAGAAATATGATCCAAGCGAGAGCCGCTTTTCACTCATTTAAGCATTATAATTCGGTTGTTCTGAAGCCCTGTGATCATATCCCATAAATAAGTACCGGTAGTCATCAACTTCCATGAATAACAGATGAAGCAAAAAATCTCTGACCAGACTTTTCACATCGAAAATCATTAAATTTATTACTAATTAATTTAAAAGTCTATGCAAAACATATTGAGACATTGTTCAGTCCGCTAGTTGTACAGAAATAAAAATCAATTTGTTAATAATGAATTCGTTTACGCATTGACACCTATGTATTATGTGCTTTACAAATCCCACTATTATTATTATTTAATTATTATTATTATTATTATTATTATTATTATTATTATTATTATTATTATTATTATTATTATTATTATTGATATTATTATCAAGAACATAGGCCTATTGGTGTTCATCATCATCATTATCATCATTATCATCATCATCATCATAACCGGACCATCATCCTTATCATCATCATCATAATCATCATCATCATCATCATCATCATAACCATTATCCTTATTATCATTATCATCATCCTCATCATCATCCTCATCATCATCATCATCATCATCATCATCCTAACCACCACCATCATCATCATCATCATCATCATCATCATCATCATCCATATTATCATCATCCTTGTCATCATCCTACCCAGTTCGGACAGAATCGATTTAGATTTAAACAATGTTCTGGTAATGCAGCGTTAAAACAAAGGGAACCATTTATATTGGGTAAGAACTTTGGGTAAAAACAACAAAATTAACGTACGTAAAAGGAAAGTGTTTGTGAGCATGCGCGTATTTCTGTCTATTTTAATTGTTATAAATTATATGGGCTTATAGCATAAGCTGCCCAGAAATAGGCCTATATATAATTATATATACACATATAAGATGCCACTGGAAGTTTAATTAGGCCTATATGGTACCTTAAACCCACTGGCTGTACACCTTAGACCTATATGTAATTACGGTACACTATTCTACCTACCGACAAATCCATTATTTAAATCCTTAGTTCAGAACCCTAATAGATGTCGAATACTAACAAATTGAATCGAATAAAGCATTTTATTCCTTCTAGGCCTATAATTTCTCTTACGTACGAATGTAATATTAAGCCGTAAACGAATTAGCATGAGAAAACAGGCAATAGGGGGTAAAGAAAAAATCCCCTAGAATGTAAAGATCGTAATTTGTCTTTATAATCCATTGATTCACGTAACCCTGTCAAACCAATAATAAAGTCAGCTAAAGCGTCTATTTTGGAAAGTATAACAACGTTAGTATCAATATGCAACGTATATCAATATGTAAATCAATTCAAAGCGAAAATGCACATTTGGTTCCATCTTCGAGTGCACAGTAAGATACATCCATGTTGTCTGAACAATAACAATATCAAATTTATTCTATGGTATATCATTAGAAATCAGTAAATTTGAAAAAGAAGCTCTCTCGACTGCAATATCTGGCAGTTAAACATGTTAATATATGAGTTAATAAAACGATACATAATAAAATGAAATGATCGATTAAAGAGACCACAATGACTCAGTTTTTTTACCATTTATTTATAGCATTATTGAGGAAAGACATTTTAGCGTACTTGGAGATCTGCTTCATGGATTTACCGTTTCAGGGTGATATAGGCCCACAAAATGGCATGACTCACTGTGACAGCGGCAAATTTATTACATTTTATAAATAAGGTTTAATTTTTTGATTATTATTTATTGTGTATTTATTATAATAACGCACTAAGGCTATTTTAATCCACAAGCGCATAACTAAACTTAACCAAACAACGCGTGACGTTATCTGTGATTATGAACATGAATGTATTACTGATAGAAAGGGTGATAGAAACCAGGATTAATTTAACACTACAAAACACGTCTTTGTACCACTTTGCGACATTTTCATACTAATTTTGATTCGTGAGAGCCTTGAGATGTGAATCCTCTTATAAAATGATGAATGGAATAGTAATGCACACAACTCTCATTAGGTTTACGTATTTCTATTTAAAAACAATCGAATATATTGCTTATGGCGACGAACCGGCAAGTCCATTTCTCATCTTCCTCATGTCTATGCTTCGTATTTTCCGCCAATGCCGTGGTATTTTCTGGACATTACCCAACATTGACCAGTACCTCTTACAAATTTGTTTCCGTTGATTGCTTTCTAGAGTGCGCTTAATCTGTTTATTGTCTTGAAGCCATTTATTCGAGTTAAATCGTTAATTACTTCAAGAAACCGTGACGACACGTCGAATATATTAAAATTGTGTATCGTTGGTTAACAATACATAAAGAAGATTTGCAATTATTTAAAGTAGGCCTACTGTATATATAACGGAACCTCTACAATATAGGTTGCAGAGATTTATTATACAAAGATTTTATATATACATACTTCGTGTTTGGTAGGCCTACTTGCCTTCAATACATTAAATCCCAACGTGAGCTGGTTTATATTATTCCCAAATGTTGTCCGGCATAAAATATTTATGCCAATATGTGTGTTTATTACGTGGCTATTTTCTCACTCCAAAGTAGACAAATATTGGCCAGCGCACTATTTACCCGTGGAGGGTGTCGGAACAGACTTACGATGAAGCAGTACGGGATCAGCGAAGTTACAAAACATGGGCGTTTATCACAATTTATTTTTTAATGCGGCTGTTTGTCTCCATTGCCTCATCCTTCGGGTAGAATTTCACGCCGCTTGTCTCGGTTATTTTATGCAATGCAAGCCGTTGTACAAAGTTTGTTCCATCATTCACCACTGGCTTTATCGATTCACGCAAATATAATATAAAAGAAAGCAAACAATTAGTGATTAATTTCAGTAATTTAAAAATAAATGAAC